TTCAAAAATACATAAGCAAAACATTTAGCTAAGTTTAATACTTGTACTCATATAACATAGTGTTTTTGTTTACATGCATTGACTTAAAATATACTAACATAAATGGTATGAACTCTATTTATCCACAAAAATAAGAATGAAAACCCCAACCCCAAATAACATTATAATTGAACGTTAATTTTATTACCCCTTAATTTTAAAAGGTTGAAATGCAGCATCGTTTGGAAGTTTTGGACTAAGAGAGCGAATGGTGTTTCTAATTATGTTAATGTTCATTCAGTAGAGGGTATCAAATACAAGAACGGTAATAAATCTGAATATTAAACAGAGCTAAAACCTTTTCCTTGTATTTTTCGAAAACCTTTAAGTAAAGTATATTACCATCGAAAAAACTTTTCCTTGTATTTTTAGAAAATGCACAAAGATAAAGTATATTACCATCATAAACCCCGCACACATTATACTGAACCCTAGGAAATTAAATGGAGCCCTTTCAGATAGAAACCAATCTAAAACAAAAAGTACCTGTGTTAGTAGCAAGTGTTGCATTTCTATCTTAATAAGTAAATAGTATTAATAAACAAGAATTATGTAAATAGTGAAACCTGTTAGAGGTGAAAATGCAAGCGGGGAAATGACATTTGCAAGGGAATCTATGCTTGAAATAATCCCTTGGGCTTTCCCCTGAATAGGTTACCATTAGTTAGAGTTTGCATAGACCATTTAACTAAATTTGATAAGAGTCAAAACCAATTTCACAAAAATTAAATAATAAGGTTCGATTTCATGTAAAAATAACAATATTTCTCATGTAAGCCACTAATCTTTTATCTAATCCTACTCCCTTTTTTTCATTCTTTGAATCATTTATACTTCTATCCGTTTTATACAACAAGTACTTATGGTATAACAAATTATAAGCCAAGAGTTAGTTACCTGTTCATATGATGCTACTTGTTTGGAGACAATGCTTCGCATCTGTAAAGTTGAATTGTTGAATTACAATATTTTTCAAGATATAATTAAATTAATTATAAACTCGCATAAAAATATATCTAATATATAGACTTACACATGAATGTGGAAATACTGAGAAAAGTGAAAATATGGCTGCCATATATGGAACCTGTGTGTTTTAAATTATCTTTAGCCAATAATTGATCTCACAAAAATCTACACAAAATTAGATACACTAAAGAGGCAATTCTTATGAACGCTAAAATGATATAACAAAAAAAATAAAGTATCCAAAATGAAAAGGATGAAAAGTATTTTCTTAAAACGATATAATTAATACCCATGAGGACCATGCCACACATATCAAGAACATCTGCAAAATAAAAGATTGCAACATATAAGAAAATGTTCATGAAACCAAATTTAAGGGCTCATAATTTAGCTCATTCAGCTAAAACTATATTGGATGTTGTTTTTATAAACTATATATTTTTTTGTTTAAATTAGTTAAGCTATTATTGTGAAAAAAAAAGAAAAAAAAATATATGAAATACAAATTTTAGAGAACAAAAAATGGTGGGAAAAAAAATAACTGCGGAAAAGAATAAGGACAAGACACAGTTCTTACATGGGCGCCACCAAAGAAAAGACCAATTGAGAGCAGTCTCTCCTCTTTTAAAGCAGGAACTAGAATGGGCATAAAAAGCAACTGTGAAATAACATTTCTTTGTAAGTTAAACAATGTGAAAAAGACTAATTTCCTCCCATAAGTCGCTACAAAAGTAAGCATATTAATTGTTATTTACCTGTGAAATAGATCCCGTTGCGCCTGATATGATCATCAAGTCTGCAAACTGGTCTTTGTTAAAGTGAAACTTGGCCTTTAAATAGTACTGTGTGAAGCAATCGACAAAAATAAAAATCATTTATTTTATTAGAAATAATATCTAAAAATGCAAAATCTAATATAAATTATTAGTTTTTACTAATTATAGTTTTATGAGCTACGTCATACACTAGTATCTGCCAGTTATTGTCCCTTACTAGCATTTCAAGTTACAAATGAAAAGCATGTTTCATTATTTTTTGTGGATATATTTACGTTAAAAACCAAATAATAGTCATTTATTAGCCGCATCGCATAAAGCCTGTTCTCAAAAATTATATTCATTTAAATATTTAAGACCACCTCAAAAGATGGCCCGATAAATGTGGTCTAAGCTTACCATAGATGAAGCATGTAGACCAGCCTCAGCAAGACTACTGCAGAATAATACCATCGCAATTTGAAAAAATGGAACGCTGGAAAATAAACCTAAGTAAGAAATCTATGTAAATTTTATTTTAAACTAAGAGGATAAAAATTAGTTGATTTTTTTCACTAATCATCAATCCTCTCTGATCACAAGTTATAAGTTAAGAAAGAAAAAGTAAGGAAAAAGAAAACACACCTACTTCTCAATAGAGAGGCCATTTCACGCACCGAATGAATTGCTCTAAATATTCTATTTCTATGTCCAGGACAATCTTCAAGTAAAGAGGAACTCAATGTCTCGCTTATAACAATAGGAGCACCGAGGCTATGG